GTTTTACAATAAACTACAGTTTTACAATAAACTACAGTTTTACAATAAACTACAGTTTTACAATAAACTACAGTTTTACAATAAACTACAGTTTTTTATTATAACCAATAGTTTATAGTTCGCACCTATATATCAGGCCAACCAAACTTTATCAACAAAATGACTGTCGACAAGACAGTTTATCAAATTGACCATAATCATAGCCAAATTTATAAGACATGAGTTAAAAATTACTTTATTGTTATATATCTATTATAATCAAACTTATTTACACATCCCAAATAAGGCACATCGTTCCTGGTTTTAGCGCGACAACGTCGCGCAGCTACCTAATTATTTATTCTGATAGAAGAAAGTTCTCGATTTGTGAAACATGTGACTGCCTAAAATTGGATAAGCTTGAGTCTTTTCGTTACAAATTAAAACTGAAAGTGTTTTAAGTGTTTTTATAATTTTTACTAAAGAATTAGCGTAGGCGATCTAAAAATAATAGCAAATTAGAAGATAAGCTGCCATCTTTCAAAATTCCTCGAGTTGCCATGTCTCTAATCTTTGTCTTCATTCTAGCCGGTGGCATATTACCACATTGGGCAATAATCAGAGCAATAACGCCGGCAACATGAGGAGAGGCCATACTTGTTCCAGACAGACTTTTAGTTCCGTTACGAAGCCAGACAGAAGTAACATTTTGACCTTCGTATATTGTTACAAGAGTAAATTGTCAATTAACGCGAAAATAAAGAAAATCAAGATTTATCTGCTATCGCGTAATACTGTCACATAATTTACCGGGAGCGAAAACATCAATACATGCCCCAACGTTTGAGAATTTAGATATTGTATCATCGATGCTTGATGATCCTGTGGTAATCGCTTCAGGAGAGGAAGAGGGTGAAAAAAAACAAGCATTTGCGCCGTAGTAATTTCCAGCCGCAACAGTTACATGAACGCCAATATCAGTCAATGCCTTGACGGCTGCGTTGGCTGGCGGAAAGTATTTACCAGTCAAAGAGAGGCTGAGTGGTGGTTTAATTTAATTAATATGCTAAATTATTTTTCAATTTAATTTGAGAAATATATATATATACTTGACAACAGAACGCTTTCTTTTACTGTGTTTATGCCGTTTAGCCACCCAACTCATTCCAGCAATCACATCACTCCATGATCCGGTCCCTGTTTTCCCTAAAGCTTTGACTGCGATAACTCTGGTGGCTTTTGCCACCCCATGTTTGTTCCCTAAGGTAAAGAGGGCGACAACGTATAGTTGTTTGTACAAAATTCAAACATCGATATTCTCAGTTATTTTACCTGCGATCTAGAAAAAAAAACTTAACAATCAAGAATAAGGTTTAAAAAGATAATAAAGTTAATTAATACCTACAATTCCTGCAACATGAGTTCCATGGCTTTGAAAGAAAAAAAAAAAGCAATACATTGGCAATTAGTATATAAAAAATATATATATGTAATCTGATAACATTTTATATACAATATACCCATATTCGTCAATTTTTGGTGCTCCTTTAACGATGGACACGCCCCATGAAGCTCGACCTTGAAAGTCTGGGTGATATATATCTATTCCACTGTCAATTTTTTTTTCAAAAGAAATAAATTTGCGTGACATTTACGACTAATTTAGTATAATGTGCAATGAATGATAACATACGTATCGATTACATAAACATCCACTCTTCGACCTCCAGTGGCAGGTGAGATATATCTATCGTCATAAGGCAGAAAGCGCTGGTCAAGACGATCGAGATTCTGAACACCAATAAATGATAAAATGTTATGAAGTAAAATATGCGTATTAATACAGTGCGGGACAGTCAAAGACATCCAATGTTTATTAATAAAAACTTTAAAAGTGTTATAACTTTTTTAAAACGAGCTAAATCAAAAAACCCTCTGACAAATTAATAGATTTTTGGGTAAACTACAATTCTGTCAGAGGATTCTTTTTTATTCTTTGTTTTAAAAAAGTTATAAAGGATTAAAGTTTATATGAGTTCAATAAATTAGCGTTTAATATAAAAAAAAAAGAAAACATATATGTATTTTTAACCAATTAAAATTAATTATACAGAATCAGCCAATCAGAATTGATTATATAAGCAACAAAATTGGCGTTTTTATATATTGATTGACTGTCCCGCACTGTAGTAAGAATTTTATAAATTTACTTACCCATGGAACATTTGTTTGAATTCTCATCCCAAATAATGGATCTTGGCTTTTTGTTCCTTTATCATAATCACCTAACGCTAAATACTCTTCAATCATATCTTCTTCATTAAGGCCAACAATATTACGTGCAACCCAAACCTCGGAATCTGGTACAACATAATCAATTTCTTCGCGCTGTTTTAGAACATTTTCCACAAATTGTGGATCAAACGTAGCAGAATAGGCACGAAAATTGTCGCCAATAGCGTATTCGCGAATAATAATGTCTCCGCTGCTATTATTGGTAGTATACAAGGGACCATTCTCATCGAGAGACGTCACGATGGTTGCTTGGGAATGAATATTCGAAATCCATGAGATATGGTCTTGATATATAGAATCAGTGGTCTTAGTAATAGCAACTGTTGGTTCTGTATCGCTGTTTTGAGCGCTTTTAATGACAACTATATAGTGTTTTCTTCCATCGGACGATTTGCCGATAATTGTAGATTCGATGATTGTTATTAGCAAAATCGAGATGGAAAAAAGAATCACACATTTAATAGACATTATTGTTATCTATACACAATTTTTATATGAATGAAAGATGATGCTGAAACTTACATTCTGAGGAAAAAACTATAGCGTTTAAATAACTGTTTTATTTGAAGGCGAAAAGTAACTCACCAATATAATAGACTTAACGATGGCGCGTCTACATAATGTCTGCTGATTTCTTTAACTTTAAAAAGTATATGAATCCATCTGATTAGCAACATCGCAGATAGAATCACAAATTTTCGGTTCGATGATTTCGATACTTATCCTAACATATAGCATTGTTCTAATAAAAAAAAAACATACTAGGACGTCAGTGGCGCCGATTGTGGTGAATTTGAGTACCCTAGCCATGACAAAGAAAGAAATGATCATGTGATGCTCGAAAAATTCTTTAAAGTTTATTTATCGTTATAAGTATTAGATGTTTAGTAGATTAGGCTAATATACTAGATTCTATCGCGTTAAACCTCCATAACAATAACGATCGATAAGAGCACCCTTTATAAGTGCTCACCCACTCCAAATACACACTTAAATTCGGGTCAAAATATACATGACCTTCATAAATGCTCTTTTTCTTATTGTTCTCTAGGTGCGATCTCAATAGCATGCACTTATGGAGGTTTTACTGCATTAACATTCAAAAAAAAAAAAAATTTCAAATTCTCATATTCATGAAAGACCCCCCTTTAAAAGAAATCTATTTAAACTTTATAATCGTTGTTGAGTCTGATAAACATGGTCGAAAAACACTTGTCAAAAAGTAAATTATCGCGAAGAAAACTGTTGATTCAGTTTACCAATTAAAGTCATTATTATTTTTTTTTTTTACATATAATAAATTCGAAATTATATACACCGTCTTTTTTTCAAAAAAAAAAAAATCTTGACTGACAATTAAATTAATATTTTCAGTTTCAGCAAAATTTTATCTCAGACTTCGATGTTTTTACCACCCCTACTCACAGCCGCACTTGCTTTGGCAGGCGGGAAACCAGCGGTTATATCTCTGGTTGAATATACAATATGATACTTTCGCTGACAAATACAGTAATTAAAAAAACAAAAAACTTTAGAAGACTTATCGGTTCAAACAATTACTAAAACTTAAGTGTTAGTAGACCTATAAGTCGGGTTCTCAAGCACTATCAAAGATATATTGAAAACTTTCACTTTTAGGAAAGCTACAAATGAGATATCTTAAAACTTCAATGAAAAAAATATAACTGATATCTTTATGAGTTACAATTAGAGATGGACTTTGATTAGACGTAAAATTAGGTTTATGATAATTTGAAGGGTTGTAAATCAAACTTGGATATACAAATAAATATTATTTATATACACATAAGCTTATCCACTGTCTCTAATATTTGCGTCAATTCGTGTAATATATTTATTATAAAGTCTAATAACTTGTATCTACGTAGAGCTTTTTAAATATTCTTACAAGAGCTGTCTTTTCCATAAATTTTCGTGCATTCGATCGAAAAATTTGGTCAATGATCTATAAAACAATTGATACAAAAAAATATATAACTTTTATAATAAGGACCATGCCTAAATCACAAATGCTCGGTGCATCATTCGGTTTTTTATCAGTGTTCCAAGAATTATGAAAATATCGATAATAAAAAATCACCCCGGCCTAAAATATTCTACTAAGTAACAAATGTGTAATGCTATAACGATAACATTAATGTATGTTTCTTAAGGAGTGGTTACTCTGTATTACATAAGCCCCAAGGAAATCATCTTCTCATTGGTCACATACAAATTATATTGCATATCATTAATAAACTTTTAAAAGCGAAGAATGTCAAATCAGAACAGCAAAAATGGAAGAGACAAGTGACTTAAAGACTGACTCGTCGCCTACAGACACAAAGAACGTAGAATTAGAGAAAAAGGTTGAAGAAACAAGTGACTTAAAGTCTAACTCGCCTACAGACACAAAGAACATCGAATTAGAGAAAAAGGTTGAAGAAACAAGTGACTTAACGTATAACTCGCCTACAAACACAAAGAACGTAGAATTAGAGAAAAAGGTTGAAGAAACAAGTGACTTAAAGTCTAACTCGCCTACAGACACAAAGAACATCGAATTAGAGAAAAAGGTTGAAGAAACAAGTGACTTAACGTATAACTCGCCTACAAACACAAAGAACGTAGAATTAGAGACAAAGGTTGAAGAAACAAGTGACTTAAAGTCTGACTCGCCTATAGATACAAAGATCGTAGAATTAGAGGAAAAGGTTGAAGAAACAAGTGACTTAAAGTCTGATTCATCACCTACAGACACACAGATCGTAGAATTAGAAAAAAAGGTTGAAGAAACTAGTGATTTAAAGTCTGACTCGTCACCTACAGATACAAAAATCATAGATTTAGAAAAAAAGATTGAAGAACTTATTCATGAATTGGATGTCGCTCAAAAGAAATCAGACGATACCCACGCTGAGTTAGAAAATAAGATCGAAGAACTCCTTAAGGAACGAGATGATCTAATTTCTGGAAAAGAGAGTCTCGTACAAGATTTGGAAAGTGCTCAAAAGAAGTCCAATGAACTTCAGTTAGAATTGGACAATGAAAGGAAAATAGTTCGAGAAGTGAAGGAAAAACTGGAAGCGACAGAAAAAAACTATAAAGTACTCGAATCAGATAACGCATTACTTCATTCTGCCAAAACCCAAGCTCTTGAAAAATTGTCAGATGTAGAATCAAAATTGAAATCTACAACACAACGAGAACGTGATCTTCAGGAGTCATTAAACGAGGCTAGAACGACAATCCAAAAATATGATTCTGAAATTGAGAGCCTAAAAAAGCAACAACTTGAAGAAAACGACAAATTCAATAAAACACTTACCATTATAAAAAAGACCCAATCAAGAATTCAATCTCTAGATAAAGAAAAAAAAGATATGAATGAGGAGATAGAACGTCTCCGGGAATCACTTCGAACCTCTGAACAAAACGCAACAGACAATTTGAAAAAATTAGCAACAGAAAAGGAAGCATTGTTTGATCAATTACAAGTGAAACAAGCAGAATTCGACTCATCACAATCGTTGCTCGAAACATTACAACATGGTTCTAAGGAGAGGGAGCGTCAGTTAAAAGAAACTGAAGAGCGTTCGCAAGCATTGGAGGAAGAAGTAACATCATTAAAGAAACGTCTTAAGGAAATGAAACGAGAGAATGAAACTTTGAAAACAAAAGTGGATGATTTTAATGGTATCACAGAGAAGTTGGAAATTATGACAAAGCAGTCTGAAAATTATAAACAAGAAAGAGAAAAAGTAGAGTTAGAATTAACTGAAATTAAACGTACTTCTGATGTTCAAAAACAAGATATGGTTAAACAATTGACAGAAAAAGAGCAAGAAAAAAGTAGGATAATGACAGAATATCAAACAAAAGATGAGCTTTTAAAATTAACTCAAGATGAGAACGATTCTCTGAAAAAGCAGATTCGAGAATTGGACGAAAATATGCGCATACTTACCACAAAAATGGCTAATGCTGACGAGAACTCTGTAAGTTATAATTAATAAATGTTTTTTAAGCCATAAGATTGATTATATATCGATGATTGTATATAAAATTCTTAGGTCAAGTATCGAGAATTGGAACATAACCTTCAACGAAATAAAGAAGAATATGAAAAACTACTCGAGGAGGCCCGTATGCGAGAAGGTCAACTAAGAAACAACAATAGGGTAAAATTAGATATCTATTTATTGTTTTGTATCAGTTGTGTTTGTGATATTTAGTTATTTGTAATTTCATATCATTCAGTCACTCAAGGAAGAAGTCCGTAAACTTCAGAAATCATCAGATCGTGGTGTACCAACATCTCCTTTACAACCACCATCTCCTACATCGTTAAGAAATTCAGTGCCATCTAATCCTTCTACAATCCTTAATACGGGATTAGATGATGATGTTAAGATTGATTATCTGCGAGACGTTATACTTAAATTTTTGGAACATAAAGAGCAGCGGGTATGTTATTTTATTTTGAAAACAGCTCAATTATTATTATAATTTCAATTGTTATTTAAATGCAATCATTTTTCGAACTTTAACTGAAATTACAGAAAGCATTGCTGCCGGTTTTAACAACATTACTTAGGATACCGCTTGAAGAAAAAAAAAGATTAGAATTAAAGTATGGTAAATGGTAATCTTAATTTGCCCAACATCAATTCTGTAAAATATTTTGTACATAATCATTGTATAATGAGCAAAGATATTCTATGCTAGATTACATGTTATTATAGACGGTTTCCTAATTCATTATTCAATTGTAGTGAAATAAAACTTTTTTAATAATTAGTTCTTAACGTGCACATGTATTTTGCAACTTAATAATTCTAGATAAGCTTTGGAAAATTTACTTTTCACAATACATATTGGTAATTGTTTTTTTCTTTTGTTGCTAAATTATGCAATAATATCGGCCTTTACATTTTTGATCTATTGTTATTTATCTGCTAAAAAAATAAAAGATTGACATTTGTCATCAATTTATATTGGATTAAACATTTAAATCGTTTCGCTTGAGCAAAATAGTTTCATCGGAACAAATGTTTCCATACCGTTGATTTTAAGACTCGAAGATAGCAAACCTAGGATAAAGGCGACAATTTACGAAAAATAAGTAGTAAAAAAGATCGTTTCTTTGATAGAAACACTTGACAATCATAATATTTGCATGGTTTCTTAAGTTATTGCAATATCGATATTCAGGTTTTTTTCTTTTTAGTGAGTCAATAAAAATATTAAGTTTTTGTGTAAAATAAAATCAAAAAAGTAAATATGGAGTTGAGTCAATAGAAACCAAATATTTTTAGTAAGTTTTATTTTTAAAAACTTTAAACAAGAATAACTTAACAAATACTTAACGGTAATTAAATTCTTTTAAATCAATTCTACAAGTTTATAAACTTTTTTTTAAAAAAAATTTTTATTAAATTAAATTTGATTAAGTTTTGCTTGTTCAAAGTTGCAAAAAAATTTTATTATAAAACATTTGCTTGATTTCTATTAACTCACCCCATATATATGCCATTCTTTATGCGGCAATGTTATTTTTTAACAAGTGCATGTTCTATCAATTGTCTGAAGGCAAAAACTTGCCGTATTTTTAAATGATGTTTTAAAGGTTTTATACTCTAATAATACTCCAAGTTGACATATCATAGGGATATTAACCCATCTCGCTATAATTGTGAGCCGATTTCGAGAAAGTTTGTAAAAAAATTTGCATTTTGGTATTTTTTACCTGGCCTTTAGTCAAATAAAAAGTTTATTTTGTTATAGCTATATAATATATATATTAATTTTTGTATTAGCATTAATTTTCTTCACTGTCTAAATCTTTTTTTTTTAAACTTTATATTAAAAATATACATATCCATGATAAAAATTATACCTATTACGGTTCAAGACTTTAGCAAAGGATTCGAAACTAAAGATTCATGAGAATGGTTCTTTCTATATCAAACTTTTATACCGAACTCCGGATATAATAAACTAAAAAATTCAAAACAAATAGATTTATTTATTATATGAATTTAATATTAACCAAGAAATAAGCCCAGATCTTAATAATGGGTATTATTTTTGGAAGATACTGTAAGCATTGGTCAAGATATAGCTAATAAGATTTCATAAAAATATTCATTATAAAATTACAAGTTACTATTTACAGTACTTACTAAGAAAATAATAAATGATAGTTAACGTTTAATATCAGGCAGATTTCTTCTACTGTCTAGACTTATAAATGGATACAAAAAAAACAGCCAATCATTTTTGCATGTATAGGAAAAATTTATTGTATCAAACAACTAGGTGTTTAAAAACTTCATGAAAAAATTCAATAGCCTCCAATATTTCAGTATAATATTATCCGGTCAATTTGTTATTTGCATAAACGTATCTTGCACATTAATTATTACTATACTATAATTAACTCAAAGTATATAGTCGTTTTATAAGGCATTTTTTGTGAATATTCATTTGTAAATTCAAAAAAATAACATTTTTTTACAAGCTTTTCGTGACATTGCCGCTTATTTTCATTTTTTCGAACTAGAAATACATATATTTTCATTTATACCTTTAACAATTTCAAAATTGATTTTTACGTTAAAATTAGGGGTCTGCAAATGCCCATGCCTGGCACATTGGCATCAGGCCGGGCATTAGCAGGGATGGTAAATGACCTGAAATGACCCAAAGGTCATTTGACATTTGGGGGGACCTACAGCAAAAGGTGGCTTCGGGAAAATCATGTGATTTTGAGAAAATCATGTCCAAAATTGGTATATAACTATTACATATATAATATTACTAAAATAATTAATTCAAATTATACATTTTTTTATTAATATATTTAGCAACCAAAATTTGTTTTATAGATATTTATCAGTTAATTAGATATTATATAAAATCCCAAAATCTGGCTGGCCCAAAGCCACCTTTTGTATTTGTTGATTAATGATCTAATGCTTTTTAACCAATTAAAATTGATTATTTTACAAAAATAAAATATAATTAATAATTATAATTACATGTAAAAGTTAATATTTTACTAAGTTAATCGATATTTATATCTTAAATAAAGTTGTTTAAAAGAATAAATTACATATATTCTAAAAATTTTATTCAATTATAAGAATTTTTTATTAAGATATTTTTATATTTTATGTTTATATAAAAAAATTTCAAAAATTTTTATATAAATATAAAATATCAAAATTTATTAATAAAAAGTTGTTAAAATTAAATAAAAATTTTAAAATATATGTAATTTATTCTTCTAAACAACTTTACTTAAGATATAAATATTAATTAACTTAGTAAAATTTCGATTTTTATATATAGCTATAATTGTTAATTAGTGAAATTATAATGTTCGATATCTTTTTATATTAGCTATTTGACCAATAAAATTACATTATATTCAAATGACCCAAATGATATAATAACCAAATGACCTGGGTCATTTAGGCAAATGACTAGGTCATTTAGATTTTGAGCAAATGGCCAGGTCATTTACCATCCCTGGGCATTAGTGCCTTATGCCATGCCTGTGCCCATAGGCACAAAAATGCCAGGCATTATTAAAGGCATAGGCACAAATGCTTGGCACAAGGTGCCAGGCACAAGTGTTAGGCAAAGTGCCTGACACAATTAAATAATAAATATCCAATTTCTGTGCCTGTGCCCATGCCGAGTTTTTTGTGCCTGTGCCTGTGCCCATGCCCATGTCTGAGTTTTTGTGCCCATGCCCATGCCTAGATTTTTTGTTGGGCACAGGCATGAGCCCGGGTTGCAGACCCTAGTTAAAATCAAACCTAACTGTATAAAACATAAAATTTAATTTATTTCTAATGATATGCTGATCTTGGCCGAATTATAAAAATCGTTCACCCAATCACCACGTTGAGGTGTCAGCAAATAGGCCGGGAAAAAAATGGTTCGATGCAAAAAACACCTGGTTAGGCGAAACAAACCTTTATAAACCCGAATTTAAAACCCCAATGAAAGATTGTTGCACTTAACACCGGCTTCTAACGTTAAACTGGAAGAAATTCTGTTTTAAAGATCTAAAAGGCAGAAAAAATAACTTCCTATGCAAAGATGGGGCCTTAAATTAAGTTCTCAGATTTATATCTTTGCCGGAGCACCTGCTCGTCTAATCGGGTGATTAGCGCAAAACACTGAATTTATATCTATACCAAGCACCCGTTCGTCTAGTCAGGTGGTTAGTATTGAACACAAAGGGACTTCACCCAGTTCTTTACATGACTTGTTCTTCCGCAGATAACAAAACTTCATTTAATGTTGTAATTTTTGGGATATTTTGTTCTTTGGACCAAAACATAAAATTTCTTTCCAAAAGTTTACTTTCTTTGCCAGAGCACCTGCTCGTCTAGTCAGGTGGCTAGTGCCAAATACTGAAAAACTGGAAAGGACAGCCTTTGTTGTGTGGACATGAAGCAGTTGTATCAAGGTCCGCTAGCAACACATTTCCGAAAAGAGTTTGTGTTCGATCCTTATCAGAGAAAAATTCAATATTCTCTCGTTTTACATCTTTGAGAGGCTCAAATTCTTGGTTAATAATCATTTAAGTCAAGACATTGTGATATAAAATCGTTTGGCTTAACATTAATTTTAACTTGGTGTGCCCTCTAGAAGAACCCACATCGATATTAACGGATTTGGGGATGAGGATGCGTCATTATCAACTTTAGACATACTTATAATATTGAACCACCGGCATTAAAATAATTCTGGCCCACGACAAACATGATTCTGCCCGGAATTATGGAGCACTTTTTAAACGGTTCCAATCCCTACGCTTTGATGATCGATTGATGAATAAAAGAATCAGAATCGTAGCTTTGGCATTTTCCAGATGTAACTATACTTGTAGGCAAAACTCCTAAATCACGAAACAGGTTTGCCTAATCAAAATCCTTTCTATGATGCCCATCATAACACCAATAAATTGTAAATTGGATGCGCGTTAATTCGGGGTCGATGATTTTTTAACAGGGGTAATTACTGGAACTGTCTAATAAAAACTTTTCTTGTAAAATTTTGGTATATGTGATGCAATTCCCTAATTTAATGATAAATTACAGATTTTAACCTAACATTCATAGAATTTTGATGCCGGCCAACTCTATACAATTTTGTCCAAATCGCAGCTCTATCTTTTATCGCGGCATTTTATCACTGCAAAAAATCATAAAGAAAATTCATCATCCCTGATTAGCCAATTTATGTTGGTCAGAACGTCGACTACATTCTTACGTACTACTCAGTAAAATTAAATTGATTTGGAAAGTTCACATATAAGTTTGCTAAAAACCTCACTTATAAATGACAGTAAATAGTCCTTTCCTCAAGACTCGCTGAGAAAGTCTTTGAAAAAAAGTTTTAGCCTGTATGCGTTGTCTGCTAAATTTATAGATGTATGTAATTTGCGTTAAAAAAATCAATCTAAAATTTTGCTGGTAGGTGATTAATTCTGTTATTACGGAGCTTGTTAATGAAGAGCCAGACTGGAATCACCCAACGTTTTACCACTGAGGATACAAATCTTTAGGTATATTGCCATAGAAGAATCTAAATGTCAATTTGGCTATTATTATTGAATGCAAACTGTGTTTAGTTACCGAACGATGACTACGGATTTATGCACTGATTACATTAGACATTTATCAACATTGTAATGTAAAATAGAGACCCATAAAGTATACAAGGTTAAATAGTGTGGTATTGTGTAGGCTTGGTGAGAAAGTACAGTTGTTAGGCAAAACCATTTCTCGGAAATGGTGAAAGATGAAATCTAAGCCCAAGAAAGACGAAAGTTGAACTGGTGAAACTGGAAAAACGATAAAACCCTGTAGAAATCTTAATATAAGATGACGTCACTGGCATAAGATATAATGCTTTAAAAAGTACAAAGCCTTCTGGAGAAAGAATACGTAAATTAAAATTTTTATTAACAATATTAAAAACAATTTATTAAAATTGCAACAAAACTTTTTTATACAAATAACTCACAAAAACAAATAAAATAATAAAAGTATAAAAATATAATAAAAATCAAAGATACTACTTAGTAAAAAATACAATAAAAATTGGTAAAATAAAAACCAAATAACGTATCAAAAACATGCCACAATTGATTATAAGACTAATATTTATGTCTGCTTTCATATAATTGGTTACAAATTGTAGGCGCACTTTACTACGTATAACCAGCTAATTTGATAAAAACATTATATTATTAGAAATAAAGATACATAAACTATTAAACAACGATTTTAAAATAATTATAATTAATTGACAATTCACGAAAGAAGAGAATTTGTATTAATAAAATCTATAACGTTATATATAAAATATAGAAATCAGCATTCCTGACTATTTGAAGTTAAA